GTGGGAGCGGGGCCGGCCCCGCCGCGCGCCGCGCTCAGAGCTGCCTCTCTCCCGGTCCTCAGCAACTTCGTGGTCACGGCAGGGAACGATCGCAAGATCAAGTTCTGGGACGTGCGGCGGCTCTACGAGCCCATCAACAGCATCAAGCGCTTCCTCAGCACCGAGGTGGCCTGGCTGCTGCCCTACAACGGCGTCACGGTGGCCCAGGACAACTGCTACGCCTCGTGAGTGCYGCGGGGGCCCTGGGCGCTGGGTCCCGACCCGGCTCCCCTCGGGGCTCCCTCCTTCCCTCCCTCGTGGAAGCGCCGGCTCTGCCGGCTGCGCTCGGCGTCGGAGCGGCCGCGGGTCCCTCCTGCGGGAAGGAGTGAGGCCGGTGCCGGGCTGGGCGCCGGGGCTGCCGCTGCTCTGCGCCRTGGTCCCAGACCCACACCGGGTCACGGAGGGGCTCTCGGCACCTTCCCCACGTCGAGCTGCCGTGAGAGCAGCTGCCGGGTCCAGCCCCTGCTGTCCCCCGGGGCTCCCGTGTCCCCATTGCGGGTGGCTTCGTGTCAGCGCTCGCCCCGCTGGCCCCGGACCCAGCCTGGGCGCTGCCCTCACGTTGCTCCCCTTGCAGCTACGGGCTCTGTGGGATCCACTACATCGATGCTGGCTACCTCGGCTTCAAGGCCTATTTCGTGGCCCCGCGCAAGGGCACCGTGTGGGTAAGAGGCTCGTCGCTGTCCCCGTGCTTTGGGCTGCGGCTGCGCCCGGCCCTTGGGCTGGGGGACCTGAGGTGCAGCGCTGTCCCTGTGCCTGCAGCCACGCAGCGTGGGGCCGCGGAGCTGCCGGGGGGCCGCGGAGCTGCCGGGGGCTGCGGGTTGGTGCTGTCCGGACGGGGAGGCTGTTCCCGGCCCATCGGAGGCTCGTGGAGCCCTGGGGTCCTTGAGCTGCCTCTTCCCGCAGAGCATCTCGGGCTCGGACTGGCTGAACACGGTGGCTGCCGGGGACATCACCGGGGAGCTGGTGGCTGCGGTGCTGCCCGACCTGGCCATTAACCCGCTCAACATCAAGCGGCCCTCGGAGCGCAGATTCGTAAGAGCCCCGTCCCTGGGAGCGCGGCCGTCCACGGCGGCGGCTGCGCCGCGGGCAGTGGTTTGGGCACCGCGACGAGGAGCCTTCGGGGCAGAGCGGACCGTGTCTGGCCACGTCCCGCTGCCCAGAGCCGCTGCCTGCCCTCGGGAGCCTGGTGCGGCGGGTGGGATGCACACGTGTCCCCGCAGCCACCCCTGCTGCAGCCCGTGGGGGTCCCGTGGGCGGGATGGGCCTGTGTCCCCGTAACCGCCCCATTGCTGCAGCCCGTGGGCGGGATGCGCCTGTGTCCCCACAACCGCCCCATTGCTGCAGCCCGTGGGGGTCCCGGCAGCCCCCGCCACAGCCGCCCCTTCCCTGCAGCCCGTGTACAAAGCCGACCTGCTGCCGTGTGGCCCCGCCGGCCCCGCGGGCAGCGAGCAGGGCCTGCCCAGGACCAGGCTCTACAGCGAGATGGTGGCCAAGACCTGCATCCGCTTCCGCGACACGGACCTGGTAGGGACGGGGGACACGGACCTGCAGGGTGTGGGACAGAGCCGTGGGGCGGGGGCCACTCCTGTCCGTGGGGAGCCTGGTGGAGGGGTCTCGTGCTGCCCTTCAGGAGGCCGGAGCCCGCAGCTGCCTGGCGGGGGGCCTGGGGTGACCCGTGTCCCCCTGCGCCCYGGGGCGGTGATCCGGTCCCCACAGCCCTCCCGTCCACAGCGCAGCTTCAAGAACTTCCCGAGCCGCGAGCCCATGCGCAGGATGCACACGCAGGAGGTGAAGGCCGAGCTGAGCCTCGACCGCCTGCAGCTGGAGGCCCTGCACAAGGTGGGAGGGCTGTGCCCTGCGGGGAGCGGGGGCCGCGCGGGGCTGCGCGCGGCGCTGACGCTGCCCTGGGGCCGCAGGTTCGCTTCAGCCCCAACGAGGACTCACGGGGCTGGCTGCTGTCGGGCGGCCAGGCCGGCATCGTGCGCCTGCACTGCCTGCAGGGGCTGGCGGGCAGCGCGGGACGGCGCCCGCTGCGCGAGGGCCA